TGTAATTTGCCAGTTTTTTTAATGTAATCAGTTTTCTTAATGTTGTCCAAAAAAAAAAAAAAAAAAAATCACAATCAACTGATAAGCTTGTCTCAGATTTATAAAGTTGTTAAGCTTCAGTTGTGCAATTGTCACAATCATTGGACTTGATATGTCATTATTATTTTAATTTCAAACATTTAACTGTTTTTATCCATGGAATTTGCCAGTCTTTTAAGTGTAGTTTTCACTTTTCTCAAAAATTCACTTCAATTACACACAGTCAACAGATAAGGTTACCTCAATCATAATCAAGTTGCTCTTTCTAGACTGAAACACAGATGAAGGTCTAACGTTTAAAAATCAACCTTATTAGATTTTTGCTCACATACTCCTGGACATACACTGTAGATTCATGTGTGGACATACAAAGACGTAGATGTCATATACAGCTACATATAGTATGTTGATATCATAATGTGATAGGTACTTATTGCAACAGAGACGATCATATTTTCCTCCAGGTGGCGTTAAAGTACTGCCCAGTTTGTCAAACATGGAGAAAACTGTTCAAATAAAAGCAGTGGACCAATGTAGAATCGCCATTGACCTACATAATAATAATTCATTTTGGGTGTTTTCTTCTGGTTTCTTTTTGAAATATTTTTAACACAAATGCACTATATATGTGCATTTTGATTGTAGTAAATTTTTAATCAAGTTTTGTTTGTCAAATAGGGGTGAGGGTTGGACAGAAAAGCTTTAGCCCCTCCCCCATAAAGCAAATTGAACCTACTCACTGGGAAGAGTTGTTACACCTTTCGTGATCAGGGAGTGGATGCGAGGCGGTCTGGAAACTAAGTATACGAATATTTATGTTTTAACCTATTCAGAATAACGTTTCAATGTATCAGTGTTAGGGATTTAATGTTCACTTATTTATAATTGATTTTATAAAAAGTACTGTGACGCGTGCATGCATAAAAATGGTTTGGTCATTGGCCGGTGTTTCCTCCACAACATTTTGCTTCCTCCATAACTTCACCTTATCACGTCCTATGGAAACGAAAACTATTTCGAACTTCGTTGGTAGAAAAAGTATCGTCAGTTGAAGACGTACAAGGAGTATATTTGCAAGAAGCAGACAAAAAAGGGGAAATGCTGTGGGATCTCCCATTAAAATTCCCATTTACTGACATGTAAATATTTGTAGTAAGCGGTTGGAGGTCGAAATAAAAGCATAACAGACAGTAGGTACACTGTATAAGTATTACACTTCTAATTTCGGCACGATTTCACTAGTCCAGTTGTACTATTTCAGTCCGTTGAATATATAAGTTGAATTATGGCTACACTGTACAGATTTTTGTATGACGGGAGCTTTAAAAATTGTGGTTTCACTGGCCAACAATGTAAACCCTTCAAGGCATAGGGGGCGAACTGATAGCGCAAAATACTGTTTCAAACAAATGTTAATCGTTCTGTTGATGCATCATGTTGATACCTTTAAAATAAAGCATTGGGTACTAGAAACATGGCATGTCTAAGACTGCGTGGTCGTCAGATACAGGTTTGGTTTATTTCAGTAAAGATATCTGCCCCTTATGCCTTTCAGCGTGCTGTATTTTCGTAAGACCTTCAAGTTTGCCGCCGTGGCCTTTGTTAAATGGTATTACAATATTGATTACCCTCTACCAGGGCCACAGATTGATTCTTCACTAGATACACGTTTTCACAGATATGCTTCTAGTTAAACGAAGGGACTTTTCTGCCCTGCATGCGTCAGAGAAAAGTGTACATGGAATTAGCGGCCCTGGCAGATTGTTGGTTATGATACACGCGACCAAGAAAGTTCGGAAACGTGAAATTGTTTTTCAATAATCAAAGAAAAAAAAAATGTAATGTGTTGGGAAAATCTTCTGTGTAAATAAAGATTAACAAATTGTGGGTTCATTAACCAACAATATTTGGTTAAAATATTTACCGTGACTAAATATGGTTATTTTATAACTATTCAAAATAACAATGTTTCCGAACTTTTTAGGGCGAAAGTACCAGCAAGGTAACGAGTGGTGACTTGGCGTTACGTTATCGGGCGAATAAAATCCGCATAAATATGGAAACTTTTGGTTGTCCAGAAAAGCTTAAATAGCTCAATTTTACAATTTTTTCATATGGCAAAAGTGAGTGTTTAGAAAGATCATTTGGAAGTTAAACAGTTTACTGATATATATTTTCCCGACAGCGATTTTCATGATATGTTCCTTTTTTCCATGTTTTATGCTATGGTAATAATAAATCAAATCAATCATGTAAATATAGAAATAGTCACAAGTTATTAATCTTATTAGTCAGTGACGCACACATTTTGTGTAATAATTGATGAACTGCTTTATATCTCTTTAATTACTGTCAATTTCTCAAATTTGTTCTAATTTTTTTAGAAATTCTTGTAGATATTGATAACACCAAACCATAAACGAGTAGTTAAGTTGACCGTTTATTGGTGAAATGTAATACATTTGTTGTATATGTTACACCTTTGAGATATAACTTTGTCTTACATGCATGTCTCACAGATATTCAAAGTGATTAAGTAGTGATTAAAGTGTTCTTAAACTTGCTAGTTTTACAATAAAATACTTAGATATAATTAATACATAGTTGTTTGGCACTAAATAAAGACTTTCCAATACACAAAAATGTCTTACTTATTTCTTTGACGGTTGCGTTTCTCAGCGACAACCTGGGGTTGGGCTTCAAACTTGTCTTACGTTTCTAAAATTTCTTTAATGTATTACGATTTTTTTAGACGTTTACTTAGGTTACTACAATAATTTCATTGACTCAGTGGCACCCCTCGGGTTTGGGTTCGTTTCTTGGTTCGGGTACTTGTAAATCATTGAATAGGCCTACTTTTCAAGGGGCTTTACATAAATTTCCCTTTGGTTACTATAAGAGGAAAGTTTTCCCAAGGAGGGTGGGTGGGAACAGTTAGAGGAGTTGGTAACGCGTTTGCCTCTGATTCAAAAAGTCCCAAGTTCGAAACCTGGCGCTCCTGGGTCCCAGCAAATTACCTTTTGCAAAAAAATATTCAAACAAACAAGGTAAACTAATAGAAGAGGCTCTATAGGTAAGACCTGTGAACTGGAGAACGAGAGTTAAAGGGAACAGAAGGTGAAAAATGAAAGGGAATTCAACATACATATATATGTACATTATTTTTATTATTTATTGTTTCAACAAATTCCAAGTAATTTCAACAAAGTTTTATACAAAATAAAATACGTGAAGTTACGTTTTTTTCTACGTTCATAGCAATCATTACAATAGTGTCAAATTTCTAAAAAATTCTATAAATTATGCTTTTACAAAAAATTATACAAGACGTCTTCCAGGTAGTAGACTAACACTTATGAAGGATTTTATGCACTTTGGAAATTGCTGCTCAAACAACAAATTCTATTTATTTATATAAAAGAGAATTTCGACATAATTCTTACCAAAACAAAATTCATATAAATTGACCAGAACTGGAATTTCGATATCATTCACAACACTGAAATTGGACACTTTGCTCCTCAATGGAAATTGAAATCATATCGTACTTGTCAAATTTTGTTCAAAGTTGACGTTAATAATTGATTACCAATTCCATTGAGGAGCAAAGTGTCCAATTTCAGTGTTGTGAATGATATCGAAATTGCAAAATGCATATAATCTCACATAGGCGTCTCACGTGCTCTCGCACTCACGCACACCTTGTTCTATGCCGTCATGCTGATTCTCGCACAGAAAAAGGTAGACCAAAACAGTCATTTAAAGAATAGAGTGTTTTACGTTATTTTGTTAACATTTCATTACATCCTTAATATTGGTAGGTTAATGACACGAATTTGAGCGAAAACTTAAATTTGCACACATGCGAATCAGGAACGGCATAAAGACATGGTTAATTTCCAAGCTTATTCTAGTCATGACAATTTAAGAAAAATATACAAACAAAAATGAAAAGATCACGCAGAAAGAAAAACGGTGACTTAAAATTCATTAATCCATAAATGCTAACACCCTTACTCTGGTCTCCGGTGCTCAGTGATCAAGAAACACTTGGCAAAAATACCCCAACAGGACGCGCGGGACTGGCATCTAATCAGACCTTTCTTCTCTCAATCACCCCTCAATCACAACCAAAGAAATATTAATTAATAATAGATATTTTCATGCATATGAACAAAGAAGTTTTTCCAGGAGAGCACTTACATTTCTGCTTTGCGATATTGGCAAAAAGTCGAACAACACACAAAGGAGCTCATGCAATGCTGATAAATTTGGGTGGCCCTAAGAAGAGAATTTTTATCACGTTGGTAACATATATTCCCCTACTGCAATAACGAATGCGCAGTAATTTCGTGAAAATCCCTATTTCTCTCCTGGTTTCATTTTGTTAACATTGTTTTAGACCCCTCCCAGCACAGTAAATGTGTATCTGTCACTGATCAGACACAATATCAAAACACCGAAACCAAAGTAAGTTCATTCTTAACATGCGTCACAAACGTATGTCCGCAATTTAAAAAGGATTGTTTCTTATACATGGGCAATTCTGCAATCACGTGGACAAATTTAATCATTTTCCTAAAGCTGTAATGTTCAAAGCATTATAACTTGAAGAACAGTGTTTGTAAGTTATTCTAAATTAACAACTTGTTCATTTCTCAAACTTAACGGTCACTGTATGAAACCGTTTGTGTCTCAAAAGTTTCATGTAATGAAGTTGAGATATTTTTCTTATCGGAATCTCAGAATTCAATTCAATTTAATTCAAAATAAATATTTCAAATATCCTCAAATGCACAGCTAAGTGACTAATTGAAGATTTGCCCACAGACAATTTTTACCTTCAACTAGAAAATCAATAGTACTGGCGCAGTACTCTACCTAAAATCGCATAATAATAATAATAATAATAATAATAATAATAATATTTGATAACTATCATTTTTGTTTTCATCCATCATTTCAGCAAAATACTTTTTGAATTAAAATTATTTTGTTAAAGGTGAACTCCAAATAGTGCCGTATTTTTGTTTGAGAATTGATGGGTACTTCCTTCCGACACAATAATAAATATACATAATAAATAAAATACCTTGAAACGATATGAGCGGATAAAATACTGTACTACGATTTAGAAACAAATCTATAACATATAACCAGCGACATGCAGGGTCGACGCCATTCATTTCTTTCTTTTTCTCTGATCAGAAGTTTCGTTAAAAATTTTTGCTGCGTACAACAATTTTTTATACACATTTTATGCAGAATATTACTATCTAAGGCAAAGATTACATTTCATATCAAATGTCAACCCTGCAAATAAACTACAAGACAAACTTCAACAAGCGAGACAATCTTGGCATGGGCGCAGGCGATGTCCAACATGAATCTGATGTCTTTGATCGGCGACGCATCCAATCACCCGGTAAACAGCGGTTGGGAGCCACTGAAATAAACGAAGAAAATCACATTCACGACACGGTTTGATGAAGCAGTGTGTTTATATCTTTACAGCATGCTGTTTTGGAACACATGCGATTATATTAACAAAACACTATTGTGCCATTCCTATTCTTTTCTACCCTATGGGCACTGTTTAATGACAACATACTTTTTTGCATTAATACGTAAGATGCGATATGAAAGGACCAGGCGCCCAGATAACAGAAATATTCACGGAAATGAAAGCCAGTGAATGAAAACATTTGGCAGATGGGCCCAATTAGTATAAAATTGACAGGATCTAAAAAAAGTCATTATCTAGGCACATTTTCACTGACCAAGCCAGGGTTTTTAGGGGGAGGGGGCGAGAATACGAAGATACATTAGCTGTTTCGTCTAGTTTTGTTTCATGTACAATTTTTTCCACATTTCATTTGTTCTTGTTTTGATTTGTTAATTTGGAAGAGAGAAGGGATACCTCTTAAATTAAGGACGTCCTCTCATATTAGCTTTTTTTGCGATCTGCGCAGATTTCGCGCATGAGTAGTTTTTTGCGATAGCGGCTAATGATAAACATATAACATGCAATAAAATACGTAATTCACCCTTTTAAGAAATCAGTATGAAATCTTTGATGTTATTTTGGTCGAAGCGCTACGAATATGTCANCCCACCCCCCACCCACCCCTCACCTCCCCAACCTGGCCCCGTCGTTTCCAGGAATGCAGTGACACAATAGTTCAACATCTTGTTACTGAACGTGCATTTGTCTGTTTGAAGTTTACTTTCATATACTATATATGTTTGATACTATAAAAACAGGCCAGTGACCTCACCAATAAAACAATTAGGAGAATGTAGATACCTGTCCAGTCGTCTTACTTGTTGAGGACTTGTTCAGACCTTTGGACAGCGGCAATAAGCCCCTCAATTCCTCATTGACAAGTGCGTTCCTTCTCTGAAATTACAGAAAATAAATCATTCAAACTCTGAGCTGATTTTGAAATTCTAATGGAGAGTATATTAGACATAAGTGTAATGTTCCCATAGTCATAAGGACTAAAATGTCCCTGTGCGAAACGCATTATTTGGGCAAACGTCCTCTACACAAAATCCACAGCGTTATCTTATCTCATCTATACAATACTACGGCAGCTTCCTGTCATTTTCTGTGCTAAATTTTTGGCCTACATGTGGAAATTGCAGCAACGTACCAAGAACCTCTGTCTTCTCCATCTTCTACTGACCTTGGTCCTACCTGAACACCTCTCACCGAAATGCTCACTTGTATTACATAATAATGTACAGGGCACAAGTTTCGATTTAAGGACGCCCTCTCATATTTCAGATTTCATATTTCTGCCCTAGCGATTTTGATTAAAATTGTAAGACAAATTCTTCTTACCATATGAGTAAAAAATATGAAAAAAAAATTGGGGATCCCCACGCTCGTTTTCGAGAGGTGGCGTCCCGAAAAACGCTACGTTTATTACATTGCGTTATATGGGAATTTTGCCAAATTTGCCCTTAATTTTGCTGAAAAATGCAAAAATAAAAAATTCTGCCCTAGCGATTTTAATTTTATGTGGATATGTTATAGATCTTGGTAGACCTCAAAGAAATTTACAAAAAAATACGTACCACACCAGGCTTGTTTTTAGCCAGGGCTGCTTGAGCATCGATTTTTTTATCAAATTTACATAGGAATCAATGGAAATTTACTAGCAAATTAAGATAAATATATTTGTATCATTAGGTTTTTAACTCATACACTTATTATGTTTCCATGAAAATTATATTTAAATTTCTCTGCATCAGTTAACCAAATTTCATAAAATTTGCATATCCCATTCATAATAAATAGATAATCAAATGTATCAGTTGGATTTCAGTATGCCTTATGGAATGCCGCCATATTGGATTTTTCATAGGCTAGGCAGATTGACCAAAAGCATATTATATCAATCTCATGTGACTTATTTTCTTATTCCTTTTTATCTTTATTTCTTTTGTTTCTTTATTTTTCTTACTCAGCACTAAAACATGCACTTTATGGTGAGATAACTGGATAAATTGTTTCCTTTGTACATTAACAATGTATCAATTTCTTACTATGGTTTAAGTTAGTCATATTTCTTCTCTATATATGGAAGATGGTGACAAAAATATTCATCTACAGACATCTTTGATTATCAGTTTATTTCTGTTTCATATTATGTTTACAACATGCAATCAAATACATATCAATAGCATATAAATATGCATATTAATTTTAAAATAAAAAAAATCATACAATTTTTTATTACTTTTATGCATTTTGTTACTCGT